ACCTTCCTTAAAAATCACCCTATCTATTAAAAAAAACCGCATCAAAATCCGTTGCGTAATTTTAAAGATCTAACCATATATAAGGACAGATTCTAGCGACTTTTTTGTATACTATGTAGTGATAAATTTGTTCAACATAACTTTATCCGCAAAATTACACGAATGACAAGACCAAACTAGAATGCATGTCGAAATTATTAAATGTTGCATTTCATGCGGTTAAACATCCCATTTTATAACGAAGGGTGCTCATTTGAATGCGAGTTTGGACGCCTGAGGGCGATCGCTTTGTAGTTTTTCCTTAATTATCTGTTTTGCGGATTCCCACTCATTAAATTGTGGGTGTGTACTGAGTTTCGCCTTATTAGATTCAGCTTTAGGGCATTACGTGATCTGTGAATGGTTCTGATTTTCTGCTTTAGTTTTGTGGTCGTTATTGTTAGTGTGTGAATGTTTTGCATTTGTTTCTTTGTGGTCTTCTGTGATGGGATATTTTATTTAAATTTTAAGCGCTAGTGACTAGTGACCCCTGTAGTTTTTTACGTCCGACTGTGATTATTATTCTCCATTCAAAGCCATGTATATTTAATAAATGGAGGTATAAGTATGTTTTGAGCATCTATATGCACATACAACGCGTAAATTCAATTGATCATTAATAAAAATGTATATTTATGCTACCAAGTAAAATTATGTTTTCAAATTTTATCCGACTTTTAAATAAGTTTTTAATTAAACAATGATTTAACGTTCATTGATAAAAAATGGAATATTTAAACACACACCATTAATAGACAAAATCAAGCCAATGTTAAAGAAGAAACGAGGTCATAAGATGTACGTAATAAGGCCTCGGAATGAAATCAACCATCACACACATTCATTAAATAATTAACCCAAAAACATCAATTCTCTGTACATGACAGCAACAATATTAGGAGAGGCATTACATGTCACTTTCCCTAATGACACCATACAAAAATTAGTGACAGAATCTATTGTGTCGTAACAAGTAGCAGATATAACAATAGGATATATCGCTGCAGGGCAAAGGGTGGAAGGTGATGACAATGTGTGAACTAAATTGGTAACAGATTTGGGAGACTAAGTAAGCAATTTGTTGATAATATAGGAGTGAGTTGAAAGGTTAAGTAAGAGAGAAGATTATGTGTAGGTGGTGTTGATGATTTGGGAATTGAATAATGAGATTTTTTAGTTAGTTTATATGTTTACTGCCTTGTTGACCGAGTGGTCGGAATTGCGGATTCGATTCCAGTATCGGGCAAAGTATTACTGGGTTTTTAAAAATCTCAGTAGTAGCACGGAGTCTGGAAATGTGCCCAGTATATGGCAATAGGCTCACCCCCATTACATGGGATTCATAACATAAATAGTGAAAAGGGGTGTTACATTATACCTCTATAGTAGTATTAAGTGCCGTAATGTACACCTCTGCGTACCCCTTCGAGGATAGAAAGGCGTGATGTTATGTTTTTTATGTGGACATCAGTAGACAACATATTTGGTAATTAAATATTCTTAAACATGATATTTTGAAATCAAATATTTTATGAAGTTGACACAATACAACCAATACACAAACAATACACATGTATCAAATCGTAAATGTTAAAAACCAATAATTAGATCATCCTATTTAATGTGTAAAAAGGTTTCGATTTTTTATTTTGTACGTCTACACATTGCATCAAATCAAAGCTTCTGAAAATACTCATTGGAACATGGTACCATAGAAGATTTCATAGCTAAACAAGATCTTATACCACAACGTTTAACCACTCCTGTACCCTTAATCCTTCCTAATCACCTTTCACTAAAAAATCTTTTACCAATCCCATCGCAGCATTTAAATTTTTACACCACATCCATTCTTCTGGAAGCAATCATGTCCTAAACTAACAAACGTATGCACGACTTAGTTTCTACAATAAAAACTATACTTTTAACGGCTAAGCCATAATTTGTATACGCCGCAGTGTCGCCACGTGCCGCCACGTGGTCTAAAAGACCGTCTCTATTATCCTCAACCCTTCTATCTCTTGCTGTTTTAAGTTTCGCTTGAGTATTATTTGTTGTGTATTTTTTGGTGGTTACTGAAGTGTTTTCGGATTTGACTGCTTCGACTGAGTTTAAGGTGTTTGTGTCGCTTATATAGTTTTTTTCTTTTGCGCTTTCATTAAAAATATCAATTGTGTGATTGTGTTTTCTTTATGCTTAAGGTGCTGGTTCAATTAGATCGTCGTTTTTTTTAATTAGAAAATTATCATCCAGAAATAATTACTTAAATACCGTTCTTCATAAAAATTAACCATACCTAAAACAGCATCAAATTACCCGCAAATTCAACACAATGTAAATGAAACCCTAATTCACCAGAAATAAGATTTCATATCCACTGACAATGAAATCAGAGGGTGGCTTGTCTATATGAATATGTTCACGGTTAATTGACTTGAATGCGTGCGACAGGGCGCGTATAACAGATCTGTTAGCTTTTTATAGTACTATGAAATGTTATGACATGTTTAGACTTGTTCAGACGTGGGAATATTGTTCTGTCTATGTATAATCTTCTTAGGCAAATATTGGCTTTGATTTAAAGTGTGGGAAGTAGTAGTTCATCACTGGTCTGTCCATCTACTATAGAGAATTTTCGCGTAATGAATGTGGGACTGCGTTTAGATAGCTTAACAATATTAAGCCATCATGGCCTAACAAAATTCCCATATATCAAGGAAACCGATATTGTTTTTATAATAACTATCGTGAGACATAGTAAAATAATTAATAATCGCGGCTTACTCACGTGAATATTTTGAGAAAAGCTCTACTAGTTTCAAACCACAGAGAGGTTCTTCCTCATGAGCGATGGGCGATGTCGCGCAGCCTACTTGTACATCGCCGCGACCGCGCACGCTGCTTAGGAGGAAGAGCTTTTCTCAGTACATTCACGTGAGTAACCCACGATTTTTAGTTAAACCGATAATGTTCTAGAGGGACACTGAGTGAAGAGAGTCTTTTCTGTTTTCTTCCGGTCAGATCTCTAAAGTAGATATCGGAGAGTTGAAGGCACTTAACTTATATTATTTTTGACTGCTAGTGTCGTCAGAGCAGACCAATGGATTGCAGATTTAAAAGAAACTAGACTGCAGCGGTTTTCGATAAAATATCTCTTAGGAAAGGATGTCAAAGTCAAAGTCAAAATCGTTTATTTCAATTAAACCAGAAAGACGTCAACGAAAATTTTAAAGTAAAGCTATTTGCTTATTCCAAGGTGTAGATTCCTATGGAGAAGAACGAGCAAGAAATATACTCTCTTACGCGCAAAACTCACTTCTTTTATATAAAAAACGCTGCCTCACAGTAGGATTTTCTCCTGTCGTAGGTCCGTTTACAAACATACAAGTTCACATACATATAACACCCAGACCCGAAACAACAAACTGTGGATCACACAAGGAGTTGCTCCGTGTGAGAATTGTACCGGCGACACTTTGCATGGCAGCCAGTTACCCAGCCACCGTACCAAACGTGCAGTCACTGGATTGATTTAGAGAACTTACTGGAGATAAATCATAGTCCGAATTAACGTATGTACAATCATAATAGCCCAGATGACTAATTTTTATTTTAATGTCCGTCTGGTAGAATTTTTTAAAACATTATTCACGTATTCTTTATTTTCTTACAGAAACGAATACTTTCGACAACATATTGATTTGAAGTATCGCGTGACGTCACTTCTATAGACATTTTACACGTAGAAATGACGTTTCAGCTCCCGCTCCAAAACTTTGATTCATTTTATCTAAGTATTATTTTAATATACGACAAAATAAAAAAATACGTGTCTCATATTTTTTTATTACCTAACTTATGGACTAAATGTTTTTTTTTAATTGTCATACTACGTCATCATCCCTAATTATGTACGTGGCTGATATAGAGCTGTTTCAAGGATCAATGTTCAGCTAAGTGTGAGTGATCACTTCATGGAAACGCCTCGTTAATGATTTAGAGTTAATGCGGTAAGCTAAATTTAGGTTTTAACTCGTAAGTAGATTGCTTTAGTTATTTTTAGTACACAAATTCAAATTCAAATTCAAAATTCTTTATTATCTTAAGAATTACACTATCTGTCTAACATTGAGGCAGTCCCGGTAAGTTATTTTACAATACTTGTGTTGGGACTGACTCGATCCTTTCTTTATTTATTTAACACTCTTACTCTCACACAAGTGTAACTTGTATGTTACTGGGATATCTATAGAGGTTGGTTTACGTTTCAATGAAAGTATTTACGTAAACATTGTTGGGGTAATTTCTTTATTATCTTATTTAACAAAAATATTTCAGAAGCTGTAGCTTTGCCCGTGACTTCTAGAACAAGTCTCCGCGTAGAACATGGTTACTGTTTTATCCAATGCGATTTTATCCCATGGGAGCATTTAATCGGGATAAAAAGACAAAAATCCAACCACCTAAGTCAGCCCATACCCTGCCTGTATACCAAATTTCATTAAAATCCGTTCAGTAGTTTCAGCTTGATTGGTCGACTAACATCCAAGTAAAGAAACTTTTACGTTTATAATATTTGTGTGATTTCAACCCGGCTTCATAATGTGTCAGAATTTTAAATACTTTTTGTCAATACAAATTTTAATTATACATATACATATGTATTTCCTAGAGTACCCATACTAAATGATTACATCATTTTCATAATGAAATTATTAAAATTCTTTTACTGTGCTGTAAGAAAGTTGTAAGAAGGAATATAAACGTCGAATATGCCTTCAAAATCCGTGTTTTTTAAAGGAGAACTTTCGAAATCAAAACATCGGGAATTAATATTCCCTATGCTATAGTTAAACCCACTACCGGAGAACAAAAGTCGATCTATATGCTCGATAGTCTTTTGCGACCACCTCATACCAATAGGTTACTTGGTCCAAAAATACTTAATGAAATCAACTCACCATCTTTGTTCATTCCCATCGCGAGACATTTCTTCAATCTGCAGGCTTGGCACTGGTTTCTGTGAGCTTTGTCCACGACACAGCGCCCCGTGCCTGCTTGACATCTGTCGACAAATTCAGAATTAATTATGTTGGTCTTGTACATAGCACATTGCAGCTAAATCCTGGAGTTTTGCGGTTAAAATATTAATTGTAGGGTAATTGATCGGCTTAGTTGCCTAAGAAATCGTTGAAATCTAAGAAATATCAAGTTACATTTTTTTTTCTTTTTTTTTTAACTTTGTCCCACACTAGGATTTTCTCCTCGTGGGTGCGATTACAAATATACAAGTTCACATACACATGACACCCAAACCCGGAACCTCAATCTGTGGATAACCTAAAGAGTTGTGTCGTACAAGAATCGAAACCGCGACACGTTGCCCAGTTGCCCAACCGCCTCCCCAATGGGGTTTTAAATACAGATATAACACAATCAGCTAGTTTACAATGTAATCATAATTACAAAGGAATTTCACATAAAAATAGAGGTCATTAATTCTTAGATAGACAGTGTCTAAAACAATGAATTATAACACCTCAAAATGAATTATTACTTTTCTATTCGACATTGTTGGCCATCAACAATTTGTTTCTAAAAACAATAATTACCAGAGAACCTAAAGATGGCCGCCAATCTTCTAATACATCTTAACCTCTATACCCCACAAAAATCTGCTACCACAGAAACTAATACAGATTAAAGATATTTCATTACCGATAATCCCATTTGTAATAGGCTTACGGCTTCGTTGACATTTGTTGCAATTCCATATAAAAGGGACTGGTCCCAGAATGGAACCCTGTTACACGCCACTCTGGTTTTTGAATTGTAGTAGCTGTTTGAACGTTAGGTGGCAAGTTTTTTGATGTTATGTATAGGAATAAGTATTTTGAATACATCTGAGGTTATATTTTAAGATTTCAGCTATTTTTGGCTGATATGAGATGTTTAATTTAGTTGAATGCTTCAGCGAAGGGATATAACTTGTAAAGTGTAACGGTGTTAGGGTATTTCTATTAGACAATTGAAATAGAATTGTAATAAATATACTTTTTGATGCTCCCAATCCATTCTTAATTTAGGTTGAGAAAGCAAGTATCTAACGCTGTTCGGGACCAATAAAGGAAGACGTGTTATTGATTTGATAAAATTCTGTCATTTTCTCATAGGTACCAATCTCTCTACAAAGCAAAATAGAATAAAATATGTATCTTTTTTATTTTAAATGTCCTACCATCAGTAAAATCATATCACCCAGACAATTTCATACCCATCCACAGACTGATCCTATAAAAAATCATTCACCAAGACAAAGGAATCTTCAAAAAATCAATTTGCGAATCATAAAGCTGGTACACATGTCACACTTGACCATCTATCATAAGGCTGGGGTTATATTAATAACATTAGGACGGGTAGCGAATTAATTGAATCGCCACTTAGGAGGGGAGCCAAATGTTAAACAGCTTTTAATGTTATCTGTATTATCGATCATTTTTTTTGGCTGTTGTGGTCATGTGCTATTTTTTGAATCTGCAGTATACATTGATACTACTGCTGTTTTTGATAATGATCTAAATGAGGTATTTAAGGTGTAGCTATCTAGTGGCAATTATTTAAACTTTTAGTTACATCTTAAAATTGTATTTAGATTATGACGTTTTTTTTTTAAATAGGGTACTGAAAATTTTATAAAGGTGCAGTGTACGTGATATTGTGTTTTATTATGATTCCGTTATTATTGTAACTAAATGATAAAGTTTTAGACTACAAAATAATATTAAACACATTTGAATTTATATGAAACTATCTGTTGTCCGCGTTGTATATGATTTCTGTTTTATGCCATGGGACCATTTAATCGGAATCCTATCACCTAAGTCAGCCCATACCCTGGTTGTATACTAAATTTCATCAAAATCCATTCAGTAGTTTCAGCGTGATTGACGGATAAACATTCAAACATGCAGACAAAGAAACTTACACATTAATAGTATTAGTGTCAGTGGAGTTTGGACATAAATAGGACAAAAATATCCCGAAAACTACTAAATATTAAAATTTTACGTTCAAAAAGGTAAAATAATTAAAATATTTATTATTGCGGAAGTACTAAACAAACTCAATTTGTCATTTTAACCAAATATATTTATAAATCATGGCAGTAATGCAATGTAATTGAAACAGAGTTCACTTGTAATAAAAACTCAAAATGAAATTTACATCGAATTTTAAATGCCCCTCGATTCCGTTCTCATTATGTATGGTGAGGACATAGTCCATGAGCGATAGCGATTCTAGTAAAGAGTGTCAAATTACATTTTGTGACAAAAATTATTAAAAATGTGATTATTAAAAATTAAGCTTGAACGGATATAAAGATTTTCGGAAGGATTAACTTGGTGAAAATTATAGTAACAGGGTTTATCGGCATCATCTTTTTAAACACAAGAGGATCGCTACTGAACGTGTGTCACTCTCAAGATATTCAAGAAATGATTTACACGACAATTTACACGATATTCAAGACATGAAGGGCCTTCATTGATAAAAATGTAGTCTCAGTGGTTTGCAATAAAAAAAACTTTGAAATATCGCATTTAAGTCAAAATATAACTCAATCAAAATAAAGATATATAATATAAAGACCTTATTAAAATAGATAAACATTACGATTCGGGACAATCACTTGAACTAATCAACAACAACTTTTAACCACCAATAATCAAAGAAAATTTTCATTTAACACCCTTCTCTCATCCCGCTCCGCTCCCCACAGTATTCTCTCCTCAACTCCGGTCTCAGATGTACCAAAAATTACAGAACAATGTTGCCAGTGCAATGGATTAAGTGGGTTCAAGTGCTCAAATCTCCCTGTTCTTTCTATTGTAATTTTTGGCGCGGCAACCCAGATGCACTATTGTGTTGTTCATCTCCCAACATGTTCGCGATCTGCGATTTTGTATATATAATTTTTGTATGCGCTGTTTGTTTTGATTTTTGCTTTCCTTGTTGGCATTAAATGGAACTGGAACATATTACGAATTAACGTTTGCTATCAAGGTTAAAAAAACAAATGAATGTATTATGTATGTAACTAGACAATTGTATTGTGAACCTGATTGAAAAAGAGTAACCTATGGAGTTTCTTGCTCATTCTTCTCCATAGGAATCTACACCTTGGAATGAACAAATAGCTTCACTTTTATATTTTTTGTTGACGTTCAATAGCGCCTTTCTGGTCCAATTGAAACAAATGATTTCAACTTTGACTTTGTATCATAACTAGATGCATTATATATATTACTAGCGACCCGCCCCGGCTACGCACGAGTGCAATATGCATGTATTATACATATAAACCTTCCTTAAGAATCACTGTATCCATAAAAAAAACTCATTAAAATCCGTTGCGCAGTTTTAAAGATCTAAGCACACATAGGGACAGACAGACGGCGGATAGTGACTTTTTTTTATACTATGTAGTGAAGTAAAGTTTAAAGCTAAATAGCGTTTAGCGCATGCCATATGCGTTCAAGTGAATTGTTGCTAATCTTGTTTCCTTAGGCGCCAGTTTGAATATGTTATATCTACGAAATTATTAATTATGGCATTATTAATTATGGCCTTGTTACTAATTAATTCATGTCGGTGATTAGAGGAACTTTACTACAAGATAAGGGCTATCTTGAATGTAAAAGAGGGATATTTTTATGGAACCTACTTTTGTATGGAATAAGCCGGTAAACGAACAAACACAGCACCTGACGGTAAGCAATCGGCGTAGCCCGTGGATACCCAAAACACCAGAGGTGTTGAATGGCGTTACCGGCTTTTTGGAATTTGAGAATTATTAGCTATTTGGGGATTGCAAAGATTGGGAAGGGGATGAATTGGGCCTTCTGTAACCTCACTTACACGACGGAACACAACGCAGGTATTGTTTCACGTCGGTTTTCTGTGAGGCCGTGGTATCACTCCGGTCGAGCCGGCCCATTCGTGCCGAAGCATGGCTCTCCCACACTTAACCTACTTTATGACAGAAACACAGGACATAAAGAGATTACGCCTGGCTCTCACTTTATAATAACACTAAACAGTGACACACTATCGACTTACACACGTTCTATTGTCTACAAAAATGAACCAAATTATAATACTTATGAATTAGGTCATGTCAATAAGGCAGAATGTATTGACTTACATACAAACAGTGTTACTAAACATTATAGTTTTTAGTTGTTGGTTCAGCTTCGGTACAATTGTGTCGCAGCTGTGACCTGATGGTAGAACTTTCTCTTTTAATTTGTATTGGTAGACTATAGCCGATAATTAATGAAACCGAAAAACATTGTAGGCTTGTCGCGGATAACCTAACGGGTAACCGGAGAAGGAACGGGGTGGTTTTTAGTCAGTAAGAATCTGACACTCCCTCCCGCCTCACCCAGGTGGGAGCAGTAATTCGATGATTACCCCCCTTAAAAAAAAAAAACAAAAAAAAGACATATGCCAAAAATACATTACAGTTGAACTGGGTTGATTTCTTTGAACTTTTACAAGTGAAACAAGTGAATTTATTTCTGCAAATAGGCTACAAGGCAGCACTTTTACACGTCAATTTTATCAAGCGAACGATGAGGCCGACATTTCATAACTGACTACTCTGAGAAGAAATGCCGAAACAAACTTAGAAGACATTTCATTTTTGGAAGCTATCGGCAATATCACACAATCAAGTAGTTTCTTTTAGGTATCCACCTAAGAGTTGGTGTTAAGTATGAGGCTCAGAAAGTGTATAATTGGCCCAACGATGTCACGATATCGATTTTTGTACGGAATAACGGCTTATTCCGTACAAAAATCGATATCGTACCGGCGTAAACGAGCAAACGGATCACCTGATGGTAAGTAATCGGCGCCGCCAATGGACACCTGAAACACCAGAGGCGTTACAAGTGCAATACCGGCCTTTTATGAATTGGAAATTTGAGGTTTGTGGAGGATTCGGGGATTGAAGAGACTGGGTAGAGGGTAATTGGCGGTAATCGACCTCACTCATACGACGAAACACAACACAAGGGTTTTTTCACGTCGGTTTTCTGTGAGGCCGTGGTATCTCCCCGGTCGAGCCGGCCCATTCGTGCCGAAGAATGACTCAAAGCGTGGGACACTTAATCAAATGAAATCAAATGAATAATTGTGATAGAATTTAGAAATTCTCAATGATAGAACTCTAAATTATACCCAAATAACGAAAATGAAGAAGATTTGAAGGAGAGACAAAGACTGGAGAGCCAATTGAAAATCTTGGAGTTAGTTTTATCTAACTGAGAGTTTTAATGAATTGCTTCTGTATTTCTGTCTATCGGTGATCACGTAATGAATTGAGTATGTAAACAATATACGTACCTACCCTAAAAAAAACATTACTAGGAAAAACAAAATTTCTGTTAAAACCGATGATGAACACTTTAAAAGACACATCATAAAACAATTGCTCATCGGCAACACAGTTGAGCAATCAAAGTATTCCTAAAACCAGCACAAGAATACAAAGATCTAAATAATATGGAAAATGTAACACAAATATATGACGCAATGGAAGTTTCACATGTTAGTTCCAGATACTGCAATATAGCTAATACAATTGTTCAAATATTATAACAATGTTTGCGTGATCTAATTTACTGGTGACTTACATTTTTTGTCGCTTCTAGAAACTGGGTACTTACCAACTAGTCAAATTCAATACTTTTTTCGAACTGTCAAAAACGACAGTTTTCTATGAATTTTGTACGAGATTGTGTATTGTGACGTCACGTTTTTTAGAGTCAACAGCATACTAATTAAAAATAAATGCTGGAAATGTACTAAAATTAAGTTGGTTACAAAATCATTTAAGGAAAATGTACATAGAACTGACGTCACGCGACATTTCAAATCAATATATCGTCGAAAGTATTCGTTTCTGTAAGAATATAAAAAATACGTGTCTAATGATTTAAAATAATCTACCAGACAGACATTAAAATAGAAATTAGGCATCTACCCACATATTAAAGGTAATGGAGATCTTAAGTAGTCGTAGTAGTTATAAGAAATTATAATAAAATACTTATAAATAAACACAAACCTGTAAATAAGTTTCCTCCTGACAGATCTCTTGAAGAATCCACTGCAGCCGTTACAAGCGAGGATGCCATAGTGTTTGCCGGAACTTGTATCACCGCAGACCACGCAGATCAGACCTGTAGAATAGGATGAGATTAAAAAAATACTATAGTGTAAGACCGTTATGTGAATTTAGATTTTTGCTTAGTAATCTATGTCGTCAATCATTGCAGACCCTGACAGTCCAGTTGGACTACGGGTCTTCTCTACGTAAGAGGGTATTTCATAGTCTGTATAATTGACAGAGAGAACAGACGCCGCAATATTAAAAAACAGGTTCATCACAGAGCCCGGTTTCTGCCAAACATGTAGTCAGACCGATGATGAAAAAAAAATAGACTTGAGACTATCAACGAGTTGAGGTTGTTGAAAAAATCTAATTCAAATAAGATATTTTTGCGTTAAAACAAATAGTTGTGTTTGAAAGTTTTCAAAGTTTTAAAACAAATCAAGTACCATATAAGGATGACCGATGCCAACCTGTCTTACCCAAATGGTTGGTCTTCTTGCTGGGTGGGTCTGGTAGCCAGGGTCGTAACGCTGGTGGAGCTAGGGCAGCTGCCACCAATGCAGCTGAGGACGGAGGGGACCATCGTAGAGGTGATGCGTTGCCTTCACCTGGTGGAGAGAAGAATGAAGTTAAAAACATGACTAAATTGAAGAAGTGGCTGTACGCTCTTGAGAAAAAAAAAATTAAATGTGCGGTTGGTAGACTGATATTTTTAAGTGGTAAGGCTATATGGAGACACGGCAGTGCCTCAGTTAAGTCTTGAGCTAAGCGGACACGGTCCTAAGTCAATGTTATTATAATGTAAACGAATCTATTCATATAGTCACAAAGTATTGATTTGCTGCTTCTATGCGATCTCAAAACGTTTTACGATGGAAAAATTGCGTAGAGAGGCTTAAGTTTTTTTACGTTTAATGATTTTGGTGGGATTAAATTTTCATGCAATCACGAATGCTTAAAAGCATTTGAAAAGTCAAAAACATTAAAGGGCTAAAAACCAAACGACTTTATTGATCTTGTTTAATGTTGGACATTGAAATTGTATCTGATCTTATACTATTATATAAAGCGGAAGTTTGTTTTTTGTTTGTTTGTTTGAACGCGCCAATCTCCGTAACTACAAGTCTGATTTAAATAATTCTTTTTGTGTTGGATAGCGCATTTATTGAGGATGGCTATAAGCTATAAAACATCACGCTACGTCCAATAGGAGCTGAGCAGAGCGTGTGAAACCGCGGGGAAGTAGCTAGTGTATGATAAAACCACGGCAAATAAAATTGGCTTCTTACAATTTTAACAGAAGGATGAACAACGGAAGGGACAAAAATGATAACTAGTCCATACAAAATTTTCATCACTTTTGCGAACCCAGTCATACAATAGTTTAATACTATCACATTGCCCCCCAAAATATTTAATCTCGATAAAGCTAATAAAATAACCATTGCAAATCACACCCTTTCATTTTAATAGATTCCTACATTTTCATACGAGGGGTAACACTCAGGCGCAGGACTGAGAGCTACCAAATTTGAACTCTATTCCAATGTTGATAAGAATGATTGTTTGAAAGTGTGTGATAATGGGTAGATTAAAACCAAATGTGTCGAATCAATTAAGTGATTGAGGTTCGCACAAATTGATTGCAGCGAGTTTAAGGGTACAGAGTTCATATTAAAGGAGTTGGCATATTGATCAAAATATTTTGGGCGAAGATGTGGTCAGTGGGGAAGGGAGATAGAGTGTGTTGGACATAGTGCTATCTTTGTTTAACAATTGTAAAGTGGTTCATAGAATGAACAGTTTCGTAAGCTGTGTAGCGACGATAAATACGAATTCAGTATTTCCTGACGCCAATAAAGAGCTACGTTAAAAGTTCAATCGTCGAAAAAATAAAAATTTGATTATAACCTCTTGGATAATCTATTGTAAAGTAAGTTTCTATAACAAAAAAATTGCTGCACAAAGACAAAACAAACGTAATATCAGAACTGACAATTAAAGACCATAGATACACGAATAACGAGAGGTGGCAGATTGCATTAGCAGACTCCCACAACTGAATGTTGTTATGTAGTTACTGCGTGTGTGCGACATCGCCCCCACGAATTATCTTGTTTGACACAGAGCTGGGAGAGTACAGACGTGGTCAGGAATGAAAGAGATAGATATAGTGACTGTTTTATAATAGTCCATTGACGTCGTAGAAGGGATGGTATATGTCCTAGCTGGCAGTGGTTTAATGCGAAGATGTTAAAGTCAAACTCTATGGTATGCTGATGCAGACGTTGTAGAAAATGGCGAGATTGTGGTCAAACGTCGACGTCGACCCATCAAATATAAAAAAATGATCTGATGATGTACAGAACACAAATATAATATAACATTTGTAGTGGACATACCACTAATTTCTCAGCTTCTCGATTTTGATAAGATTGCTATGGGATAAAGATAAAAACAGGTTTAAGGACCGAAAAAGGTTTGAGACAAAACCAACTCAGAAATCTAAAATATTTAATATTTCCAAAATCTTAATCAACGAAGATAACTTTAAAGATAACCTTATTTTGGTACTTGCCAACTAGTCAAATTCCATACTTTTGTTTTAATTGTCAAAAACGACAGATTTCTATGAATTTTGTATGAGATTGTGTATTGTGACGTCACGTTTTTTTAGCGTTAAACAGCATACTTATTGGATCACACAGTCATAAAATCAATGGATGAAAGTGTAATTCTTATTTAATATTTTATTGTATTGAACAGTCGAAACTCTACACTCCATACGTGTAGACTGGCCCCAACACTTGATACACGTAAATAATGGACGCAGTGCACTTCAATTGCATTCCAGCAATTAATTGTAACTACACTCGTATTGTCATCAGTACTAATTGCTAACTCAATTTTTGACGGGTTGGGGACAATAGGGACTGACGTGGGGCTTAGGTTTGTTGTGATTTGTAGTTGCTGTTTTACAAATTATAACTAGGATATTTCGGTTTCTGTTCGATTTCGATTCGATTTTGGGATTCACTTGGCCAGTTTGCTTTTAGATTTGTTAGTAATAAAGAGTGTCTGAATTAAGCCTAAATTCATTTAGGACTTAAACCGCATCATGACTACATCGACATCCCGTGGAATCGTCATCCGTGGTCTAACATAACATATCATCACGCCTTTTTATCCCCGAACCGAAAGAGTAGGCAGAGGTGCAGATTTCGGCACTTAATGCCACTGTACAATATAACACACACTTTTCACTATTTATGTTATGAGTCCCATGTAATAGGGGGTGAGCCTATTGTCATATACCGGGCACAATTCCAATCATATATCAAAACATGAACTGTTAATCTGTTCTACAAAACAGGATGTAGTACGATGAAGGTTCAGTTTAAACAGAGAGCATTACTGCATGCTCTGTCAACTGTGCAGTCCTTTAGTCAGCTCCGACGACATCTATCGGAAGAGAAGGTGCAGCGACAAAACGTTTAGATATTTTATTGTACTAAATATTACTTGAACGTTTATTCGAACAAACGAAATAAACCATCATATACCTACGAATATATACCAACTTATATCTACGAATTTCTAGTTTGAAAATCTCACCCTCTGAACTGGGTGCTTGAAACTCTTGAAACCAATCTCAATGTCAATGCAATTTCAATCTTATAAAATGTCAATAATTATTCAATGTCAAAACTATACAACCCCTATTGTAGCTGTTAAAATAGCATTCAGAGTACGGAATATGAAGCCAAACTCAACACTATTTAGTTCATTAAATATCCACGCAATACGAATGCAATGGGTGCTAGTGTTGCAACTCAAATTTCACAATACCAATCGACCGATCGGATTCAAAGTAAGCCCCCTGATCAAAGAATTATCTAACCTTATTCATAACAGTCTACATACCGAAATATATTGTAATAACATACCAAAACAATTCTTCAACACAACATTCAATCCACATACATACACATAGTAGAAATCTCAAATCACACCGCAGTCAGGCCACAATATGTGAGCAATACAAAATCAATATAGACGAGATTGCTCCCTTGAGGCCCGTCGCACATGGGACCCTGATATCGTACGGTTCAAACGGTATATTGATATTATGATACGGCTTTGTATAGAGATTTTTGGGTTCAGCATAGGGGTGTCTGTGTTTAAATGTTACTTAAGATATTTTTGGTGGTTGAGCCCTGTTATTTTTATGCTTTTGTTTGTTTCATTTGTTGAATGTCTTGCTTTAAGGTGCTGGCAACGATAGGTCAAGCAATAATTGAAGTCACCGAGAAAGCACAGACTCAAAGAAATTTACTTTTTAGCGGTTAAAATTAATTGAGTTGTCAAAAATCGGTGCATTCTTTCTTGCTTTTCATAGGACGAGAATCTGAGGCAATCAGAAAAGATAAGTTAATCGCAAAGCCAACGGCTAAAGTATTTTTTTAAATACGCAACACACCACCAAGCTCCCAGCTACGCGGCTCTAGAGTCTGCCACACTATAGTCTGAACAACTTCTTCTTCCAAGTCGTTGCATTCTTGGCAGACTCGTGGCACCTCGTCATCTAGGTGTGGGAGCAAGAAGGCTCACAATTCGCAATGCAGCTCTCGACATGCATTGGTGAATTTATGCTATTTTTATGTGATCAACAGCTCTTGTAATTACGCACACTCACCATATTTCGACCCCACCCAAAATCACACTCATAACCCCCCAGCCCAATGAGACAGTACCTCCTATAGACCAACAAAACATCGTTCACAAATAACGTTCCAATTTATGTCACAATACATTTTCCGAGGAGAAACGGCAGAGGGCCATAAAAGAAAATTTTATAAGACACATAAAAAGTTTCTGGGCCCGAAATTGGAAGTCAGCGGGAAGAGGAAGCGTCGCCTAAATCCTGGGTATCAGGATAAATCAATGTTTGTTTGTGTTAGAATGCCACTTATTCGGGATAGCGAGGTCTGTTGAGTCGGTTCGGTGTGGATTTTTTTTGGTTGGTATAGATTTAAGCGGACATTTTTAAGAGAGGTTTTGAGAATAGTAAAGAACGTGGAAGATAAATAAAAATATTACACAAAATTAAAATTGATTTCCAGACATGTAATGTATATTTTTATTTATCTCATAAGAGTGTCTTATGAATCGATCCTCTTGTATCTATATCCAATTTATTAACCGTATCTAGTAATTAATTTAACTCTTTAATCGATTGAAAAGTTAGTAATTAGGCACTAGTTTTAAGTGTGGGAGCCATGCTTCGGCACGAATTCCCCATCCCTCTCCCCAATCTCCAAAATCCCTGAATCTCCGACTATCTCCAAATTCCTAATCCTCAAAAGGCCGGTAACACCTCTGTACCGCCTCTCGTGTTTAGGTTCAGGTTTATCACCATCAGGCGATCCGTCTGCTCGTTTACCGACTTAACATATAAAAAACAACTAGTTCTCATTGGGAAGATTAATTTTCGGTACACATTCTCACATTTAACAATTAAATTCTACCATCACACAAAGACATGAGTATACCAAATCACTTTAAGCTACACTCAACTTTTCCCTACCAAACAACTCTCAACAGCTTCCCTATTCCAGCGCAATAGAAACTTTGTCGCTTGCCGTTTTATTTGGTTTTCTTTTGACGCGGCAGCCCTTGAGCCGGTCTGATTAATTTCACCCCCCTCCACCCTCTAGGGTTGTCGTTCAGAAGTGCCTCTACCGTCTGAATAACGGATTTTGTTGGCCTTTTCTGCTTTTTTAAAAAGAGGAATTGTTGCTTTTTCTGCTGTTTTGTAGGTTAGGAGAAGGAGGATCCGACTGCTGCTAGTGTTGCTACAAGCAACACTATGTTTTTTAATGGGATAACCCGGTAAACAAGCTGACGGATCACCTAATGGTACTCAATCGGCTTCGCCCATGGACACCCGGAACACCAGAGGTGTTTCGAGTGAGTTACCGGCCTTTTAGAGATAAGAAATTTGAGAATTCAGGGATTGGGGAGATTGGGGAGGGAGGAAGGGTAATTGGGGCTCCAGTAACCTTACTCACACGACGAAACACAACGCAAGCGTTGTTTCATATCGGTTTTCTGCTCACCACATACCACGGCCGGTATTGCTCCGGTCGAGCCCGTCCATTCATGCCGAAGCATGGCTCTCCTACACTTTGATTTAGCTTAGCATCTCAAAAAATAAGTAGATATATTCTGTATGGCATTTTTCTGAATCCGTTCCTGTCAGACGTATGAGATCGCTTGACCGATGCGACGGAAAGTGAATAAAATAAAAACTCATCATTTTAAAATTTTAGACGAACGTTTACAATAATTCCACTTTTATGTGGAATTTCTCCAATGGATATTTCCATTAGAGAAATAATATAATTAAAAGTCCAAAGTTCCATAGTGTAGTGTAGTGGAAGCAGAAGTACCTATGCAAGCATTCGTATCCGACGGCGCACGGCGTTTGGTTCCACTGTATTAAGAAAGAAAATTGTAATTCCATGGCGCAAAGTTTTATTATGAAAAGTCTCTTATAAAGAAATAATGTCTAATTTAAACAGTCTCTTTTTATCAGTCATATGTATATCTGTTCTAATTAAATCATAGTTATAAATTGACAAATTAACACAATATTTTTCTACTTTAAACTCTGTATATTCAGCCTCACTGTCATATAAAGTCCAATCATTACATTTCCACTAGCATTAAAGTGAACATCTAAAATAATTTCAACCTAATCACATCATCGCTAACAACAAACAAAATTGCTAAGTCCATTACATTCCCCGAGCTACAAAATTATCCTATACACAGTCGCAATACACACAGAGTTAATAAAATACCCAATATTCAAAACGCGGTGCCATTATGCGAAAATGAAATTTCAAATCCCCCTCAATGTATTGGTTATTTTGTATTCAACGTGCACTCTGACCGGGTAAAGTGGCAAATCATGGAGAGGCTGAAAATCAGTCAAATAGACCCCCGAGTTACTGGCTGGCGAGATCTGAATACTAATGTTGCCTTTGCCTGTTAAAAAAGTAGCAAGAAGTATGGCCGCCGCGCGGGAACGGCGGGAAAATATTGTCTGTGGCGCGTCGTTGTTTATAGTCAATTTATTGGGATAAAGTTTTTTATATGTATATTTCTATTATATGCATATTTATAGATATAGAAGTGTGTGTGAAATTTATTAATGTGTTAATTGAAAGTATAGGTTATTCCAGGGTTCCAGAACAGTTTGTAAATATAAGACCTCTAACATTAAGTGTGGTGTTTGGCACGAGTGGGCCGGCTTGACCGGAGTGATAACACGGCCTCACAGAAAACGGACGTGAAACAATTGCTCGCATTGTATTTCGTGTTTGCCTCCCCAATTTGTTTCCCAACGTGTTTTCCTCCAATCCCTGAATCCCCAACAATCCTCAAATTCTTAATCCCCAAAAGGCTGGTAACGCACTTATAACGCCTCTGATGTAACGGATGGCATGGGCGATGCCGATTGCTTACCATCAGGTGATCCGTCTGCTCGTTTACCGGCTTATTTCATAAAAAAAAAACTATTACTCACTTTTATCCAAGTGAGTTTTGCATGAAATCTTTTCCGTATCTTCTCATAATTATAAAGATTATGTAACAAACAATTAAACATTGTCGTCATTGTCACCGCAATTTTGTTATAGCTTGGTACTTCAAAATAACCGATTCCATGAATTATAAAACTACATTTTGAATGTTAGCCTTTGTTCTACATGATAATTCTTGACTTCTAATATTTTGTTGTTCGCCTCGAAATAAAAAGTTGTTACTTATCTTAATTTGTTCTCGGAACACAATAAGTACCTTCCTATTAATACTTTTTTATAAAACATTGTTGTTAGGTAAGTTGTTCCATACAAAGTAAGTAAGAATTTAGTATTTAGGTACTCGAGTATTTTGGTTATAGAACATAACATAACATCAAGTCGGTCGCAAGTGCGACTGCCGGACAAGGGGTCTCGGGTTCGATTCCCGGGTTGGGCAAAATATTACTAGGTTTTTAAAAATTCTCAGTAGTAGCACGGAGTCTGGAATTGTGCCCGGTATATGGCAATAGGCTCAACCCCTAGTACATGGGATTCATAAGATAAATAAATGATGAAAAGTGGGTGTTACATTGTATAGTGGCATTAAATGCTGTAATGTGCACCTCTGCCTACCCCTTCGGGGATAAAAGGCGTGATGTTATGTTATTTATGTCTGAAGATTTTGTTTATGTCTTTGTTTGAACGCAATAGTCTCCGAAACTACTGGATCGAATAGAATAATTCCTTTTGTATTGAATAGTCCATTTATCAGGTAAGGCTATCCTTACTACTAATATTATAAATTGGAAAGTGAGTTTGTTTGTTTGTTCCGCTTTCACGCCGTAACTACTAAACCGATTGCTTTGAATTTTTGCAGACGTAAAGTTAGAAGTCTGGATTAAATAATAGGGTACTTTTTATCCCGGAAAAATTTGATATTCCCGAGGGAAAACAAAAGTATTGGTATAGATGGCGCTGTGTGTATTGGTATATGTCACATAGGCTATTTTTATCCTTTTGTAACACGAGCGAAGCCGCGGGTAAAAGCTAGTAGGCTATAAATCAATTCGCTAGTCTTATATAAAACTAGCTGTTGCCCGCAACTTCGAGCGCGTAGAATATAATTACTGTTTTATCCCATGGGAGCATTTAATCGGGATAAAAAGTACCTTTGTATTAAATTTCATCAAAATCCGTTCAGTAGTTTCAGCGTGATTGACGGACAAGCAATCAAATATCCAAACATCCAAACGTCCAAACAAAGAAACTTTTACATTCATTATAATATTAGTGTGATATGTCTACAATTTGTCTACTTACCAGTCATTCTCCCATCCGTGTGATCTTGAGTCAACTGCAAAGGAGTTTGAGCTACCTCCATCTTGAAATATATTCTAAAATTCACTTTTGTTCACTGAATTTACTGCTAGTTATACGATAAGGTTCATAGTCTTTTTCACAAATATTTTAGACCTGTATCCGAAAAATCAAAGAACTTTTTATGAATATTTGAATTACAAAAAGACATAATTAATTATCGTAAATAGCTATTATGATTAGGAGAAATTACATTAACACAGAACGGTGGGCTTACTCTTGAATCCAATTCCGATCGATCGACATTGGTATTGTGAAATTTCGTACTCTTGAGTTGCTCACTGACGCCTATTGCATCCGTATTGCGTGCATATTTAATGAACTAAATGGTATTTTTTAATAGGGAAAAAACATCGAATGCTGCTTCCGCCTGGGTAAGGCGGGACGGAGTGTCAGACTCTTAACCCGTTAGGTTCTCAGTATTAAATTTCACTTTATATTCCGTACTCTGAATGTTATTTTAACCTTTTGAACGCCATAGCAAAAACACATGAACCTGCCTTCGACACCAAGCCACAAATTCCACGCAAATTTCTACGAAAGAAATAGGAATTATTGGAATCCCTATTGTATCAACAATAGGGATTCCAATAATTTTTTTTTCTGGTTCCGCTTTTTCTGTCATGTATTTGTGTCGTTGACGTCCAGGGACAGTTTTCGCTTGTCACGTATATGTGACATTGGCGCTCAAAAGGTTAACAGCTACGATAGGGGTTGTATAGTTTTGACATTGAATAATTATTGAGACTATATTGGATTGAAATGAATTGACATTGAGATTGGTTTCAAGAGAAAACACCCAGATCTACACAGGACACAATGCGTTTTCTATTGTCTCATATACTGACATTCAAGCGGTTAAACAATCTATAAGATACAATAACTCAGTATTGTAACAATTTGGCCGTTTGATCGGCACTAAGTCACCTAACTAGATTCGGTCCTGTTTTCCGTCAGCTAGTGTTCATGGAGCCGGCTAAATTCTAAACATTTGACTGAAACCTGTCAGCAGTGCTCTCTGATAGACCCGAAACTTTCCAACTTATCTTAGCTTATCACGTATGATATTATTTTTACGGCATTGGAAGTAGACGACAAGATGCTCCTTCTAACATCCCCCCCGGTAAACTGACTGAAGTCAAAGAGAGATATAACAGGTAACGGCAGGAGAGAAAGATAATTTAAAGTAGAAGCTTTGGTTGCCCTATAAAACCTTTTTGTGTAAATGGGTATAACCTGGGTGTCTTCAAAGCCGGAGTGAAGAGTTTGCCTATGGGTCAACGTGCTCCATCGTAGGCCGCATCATCGCTACCATTAAGCGAGTTAGTGGTCAAACGTCGGCCCATTGAATCTTACAAAAAGAGGTCATACTTCGCCCCCCACAAACGACAAACAGTCACAATACATTATTTTTTGATAATACTGAAATAGGGTAATTTCTTCAATTTTATTTTAATGTCCGTCTGGTACATTAATTTAAAACATTAGACACGTATTTTTTCTTTTGCCACAAAATTAAATACCTTCGACGGTATACTAATTTGAAATGTCGTGTGACGTCACAGCGTGCCACATTTTGTAGCACGTTATGACGTAACGATCTCCCACTCCTAAACTTAGCGCCATTTTATCTAAGTATTGCAACTTTATACGAGAAATTTAAAAAATACGTTAGTCACGTATTTTTTTATATTGTTTTATTATCTAACTGACGGACTAATTAGATTTTTATTTTGATACCCTGGAAACTACTCAATTGTATTCACGTAATATGTCATAGTACAGCTTTGATGAAAACAAAAGTTATTCCGTCAAAGATTATTCATGTTCACATACATTAATTTTTGAATTTTAATATCAACCTTTTTGTTTGATATTTATTTGAACAGATGGTTATTATATCATTAAGTAACATCATTATTAAGTCAACAGATTAACATCAATAGTTTTTGAACGTCCACTGCTTGACTAAAGACCTTCTTTACACAATATAATAGAAGAATGGATTAGGTCTTAATCTATACGCCTAGGCTGAATAAGTTTTATTTTAATCTATATTTTTAGTAAGGAGTTTTTTCAATAGAGAATATATTTCACCCCATGATTGAATATTGGTTGCATTATTTAGAGATTGCAGTTTAAAATGTCCAGGTTTATTATTGAGCGCTACAGTCCGATCTCTATCAAATATATTGCAGTCTTTAGTTAGCTCTAAAAACAATTTTGTAAAGACTTAGGATAGGTGACAATATATTTACTCTGTACTCTGTTGTGACCTCACGGCTACGTTAATATTCCTTATTTAAATTTAATTAACATTTCAATTGTCTTATGCACGGCATGTGCATCTATAGTAGAAGATCTGCCTTCATCAATTATCTTTTGAGAATCAAAAACAAAAAAGACCAGTGGGATAATTTAACTATTGCAGCTTTTGATTATTTTTATAGTAATTAGACGTCAATATTCTACTTATTTTAAAGTTAAAGTACGTGAAATTATAAAATACGGTGATTAACGATTCAATAAAATGTTATAAAGGTGGAAATAATATTTTCCTGAGACTTAAACACTTGACCAGTAAGATTTTAGGGGACTGCTTGAATAATTTACTAATGGGCAGTTGAAGAACAGGTTTTGTTGTGTTCCAACAACAATTTTAACATTCATTTCCTAGAAGGTTTCTTCTGTTCTTAAATAGATAATTATATTAATTATGTCCTTTTGTAATTCATAATTTTATACCAAAAAATATAGAAAAAACACCAAAATTAATTTTACAATAAAATACAAAATGCAATACCGTTCACACTAAAAACGAAAACCCGAACGTATTTCCCTCCAAATTTTGACAGAACAACCACGTGACGTTTCACTTTTGACGTTTATATTTTTCTAAGCACGGACGGGCAAAGACCCGCGCGCGTTATGCCACGGCCGGAGAACTTTTGACGCGATATTGCCTGTGAGCTTGAAGGCGTGGCGTGGCTCCGCCCCGTTGCTTTTCGCGTCTGACTCTGTCCCCCAGACGGGGGGACACTTCGATTTTGGGTCAGCTGTTAACCGTCCGTTTTAAGCTTTAATTTGTGGCATTACGGCGCTGTTGCGTCGGCCCTGTCGTTTAGAATAATGCTCTCGTACATTTTAACGTGGATTGAACGTTCCGTTTTCCAATTACAACGCGAAATTCTTGTTCGAATTTATATGGAAACAATTAGATGTGGGTTTGTGTATTGAGTTTTATTTCTTTTATTTTTCTAAAAAAATTATCAGATCTAACTGTTAAATTCGACAGCTTTCCATGCACTAGACTTTATAACTAAAGATTTCTTATACTAACAAAGTGTCTAGGTCCAAAGTGTCTTTCTAGCTTACCTATTTTTTTTGCATGATTTATCTCCAGACAGTTTATTGATACAGTTAACTAAAGAAAATACGTTGTCAATGTATTTTTTCTATACGTGTCCTTTTCTTTTGATCCTCAATCGATCAATCTAGTCGGCTCATCTATCATCAATGTCATTTAATAGACTTTACCGACTTTATTTTGTCTTATGGACATAATTCTGTAAGTAGATATATCAAATTAAATAGAAGCTAAATATAGACGCTTTAGTTCCTTCGATATTTAAATTTAATTGTGTCATAGCATATTACGTCACGTCAATAAGGAATATTGTTAACGAGATTCCTTGTTGGGTTTCCCTTGCAATTCTGACTAAGTTATTTTTTATTTTTTTATTTTTTTGCAACTCAAATAAGGTTAGATACTGGTGCTTTTACGTCAAAAGACAAAAATCAAAGTGGAAATACTCACGTAATGTACTTTAAAATATGTCTATTATCAAAAAAATGAGTGTAGTTTGAAATGAAATATATGTTAAACATGAGTCCTAATTTTATTAACTTGTATTTTTTTACAATAAAACCGTTCCCTTACGCAGCTAAGGTCTCAAAACAAAGAGGTTTACATACCTACACATAAAATGACATTTGATATCACCCAATAAGAGTTCCCACATTTGGCAGGGCGTGGCGTGATACCTTTGCCCGCGGAAAACAACCGTCATAGACGAAAAGTCAACAGTTGCCGCGTTTTCATTGGACGCGCTGAGATTTGGCGCCAAATGTTACTGTCAAGATTGGGTGCTTTTTGATGTCCTTGTGTATCTATGATCGTCTTTACATAGACGTCAAGGTATTGTATTGCGGTACCTAATTGGAATGACGACAAGGTATGAAAATTAAAAATCTAATTAGTCCGTAAGTTGGGTATTTAAAAAATATTAGACACGTATTTTTTATTTTGTCGTATAATAAAACAATACTTAGATAAAACGAATCAAAGTTTAGGAGTGGGGGCTAAAACGTCATTTCTACGTATAAAATGTACATAAAAGTGACGTCACACGACATTTCAAATCAATATATCGTGGAAAGTATTCGTTTATGTAAGAAAATAAAAAATACGTGTGTAATGATTTAAAATAATCTACCAGACGGACATTAAAATAAAAATTAGTCGTCTACCCTATTGCAACGGTCAAATATAAACGTTGGTTCTTGTGTCTCAAAATGACATGAAAATATTGGAACGAAGTATCTATGATTATACTGAAAGAAATATCTATTGATCTAAGATGACAGTTACCCAGTCTTTACTAATAACATGTCGCTTAATTAATCAATTAATGTCTGGTGTTGCGGGTGTCCATGGGCGGCGCTGATCGCTTACCATCAGGTGATCCGTGTGGTCGTTTGCCTCCTATTCCATAAAAAAAACTAGCTATAGTATCCCTAGGTAATACTTACTGGTTGGTCTACTGAGAGGACCCGGTGCCTCCTTCAGGTGGCGATGGTGGCCACCGGGGAGGTTTTAGTGAGGTAGAAATCCCACTAGTCTATTTTCCGCAAAAAGCTAGGCGCCTTTTAGAAGGTTTCCCCTTCGTCCACAAAAAAAAGGTTTACTGACACCACGTTGAACTGTACTTTAAACTGTCAAAT